CTGGCCGCTTCGCGGAAGAGACTTTTGTGGCGTGCAGGTGTATAGTAGCCTCGCTGCGGAGCTCTTAGCGCGGCGGCGCGCGGGGTAGCGGCTGCAGAGGTAGGCGGCCCGAAGTCTCCTCCAAACATTTTAGCACGACATTTAAGTGCCTACCGCAGAATGCCATTTCTCTCCCCCTCCCTCCCCCTCGTTCTCTCGTTCACCTCGTTTCTCTCCGTCGGTTCGGTCCCCCCCGCTCGTCAGATGGCCCGGCCAGCCCTGCCCAGCCGTGCCCAGCCGTCCCCTGCTGGTCCCCCGGCGGGTCCCACCGGGCCCCAGGCCTGCCATTAGTGCGACAGATATCCTTTCCCATGCACGGCCTCTGGGGCTCACTGCCATGAGGGAGCGAGAGAGGAGGCAAAAGAGAGAGAGAGAGAGAGAGAGAGAGAGACGGAGGGAGAGCTGTAATTCAGACACACACCACACTCTGCATCCTACTATGCAGGCTCACACAGAGCAGCGAGGGTGTGCCCCCCTCCCCCTCCCAGATGTTGCCAAAAACCCGAAGCGGAAAAAAGTGGGCGGATGTCGTGCAGGCTGGAGGGCCGAGCGGGGCGGGGCCAACGCAGCAGTGATACGCGGCGGCGGGACGGGCAGGCCGGCGGGACACGCAAAAAAGATGGCCCGATAAAAGAAAACAACCGAGCTCGGCGCGGCCCGTGGGCGGCGGCCCGCGGCCACAGGAGGGCCGCAGGGAGGCACGCCACCGTCATGGGGAGGAAATGTTCCTAACAACTGTCGCTCGCCGTTAATCGCTCTGAAATAAGCCCCCTTGCGCGCCGCACACACAATTTCGAAATAACGAAAAGAAAAAATTATAAAATGGAAACGTTTAATGAGCTAGAGCTTAATGGTCGAAAACTTGCACGGCGTGTTTAGAGGTTGGAGCCTGGTCGGAGTCGTGAGGGTAATGTCGACTGGTCAAAGACGAGCGTAATAAGTACGTACTCGTACACCGCGCGCTGCCAGCGAGCCGCGGCAGACGTGACAAGCACAGAGCGGTGCGCGCCCATGTGGCCGTCCGTCTGCCACACCGTCCTCCCTGCCGGCCTCGTAGGGCACAAGGCTGGCCTTTCAATGGCCGACATTGCAACCCCGCCCCGCCCCGCCGAGCGCGACGCGACCGCCGCGACGCCAAGCAAGCCCCTCCTCTGCCTCCACCATCACGTGACCCCCCCGGGGACACAAGAGACGCCTGTGTGGCTGCATCCGCTCCCAACAGAGACCGCCCTTGTCGTCCCAGCAGCAGAGCAGGACGGACGCTGGCTGCCGCTGCAACTCTCCGTATCCCCGGCGAGACGTGCAAAATAGGGATGGGAGGGAGAGGGCACCCGACGGTGTCGTCATGGTCCCGAGTGAAACCAAAATACAACAAAACCGCAGTGCAGCAACGTGGCATACCCCACGCACACGTAGGGATGGGTGAGGTACCCGACGCCTTGGCCCCAAGTATAAAACCGAAATACAACAAAAACGCAGTACACAGCGGTGCCCGCGGGTGCCCGGCGGTGCCCCACACACACTCAAGGCGAGGCCCGTACTCCTCGTTCGCACGTGCATGCAGATTACCGTTGGCCGGCGCGCGCGAGCTCCGCACACCGCCATCGCCATTAGGATAGCGTTGGGAAAGGCGTGGCGTGGTTATCACCCGCCGCCCCGCCCCGCCACGCCCCAGCCGAGCCCACCTTGAAAGGAACCGAACTTATTTCGCTTCCCACACCCTGCTGTGCCCCTTGTTATTACTATTGGCCGGTGAGGAAGGAAAACCCTTGGGAAATACAAGCAGCGCTGCTGCTGCTCCAGGCCGCCTTCGGTCCCCGCGGCCTGGCCTCGCCGGCTCCTATATCGATCTATCGAAGGACATGCGCCCGCCAGGCGCTAACTACATCCGGGTCCGCGCACCAACCGTCCGCCACCGCCCCGGCCAAAAACAACAACAATAACAAGAGACCAGCGGTGCTGCTACCGCAGTGCGAATAACGTCGTGCATATAACCCTAATCTGTTTATCTTGCAATGTACGCCATTTGACTGGGAATAAATCTCTGCCCACGTTATCTGCGACAGAGAGGCACGGCCTGGCCCGGGGGGTGGTTGGGGAGGCGGGACATCTCCACCGCCCCCTCCCGCCCCTTCCGCCCACGCTGCATAGCCCGGGAAATGACGGCAACTTTTTAACTACCGTGCGACACAGCAGCAGTAGCGGTAGCGGCAGCAGCGCGGGGTGCGGACGGAAACGGGAGAAAGAGGAGAGAGGAGAACGAACGAGGTGGGAGGAGGAGAGGAAGAGAAGACGACCCGGGGGACGCGACGACGGGGCCGAAGGAAACATACAAATGCAGCCGCGACACACGGCCGGCCGGCCCATTTGACTATAAAGCATGACTGACGTCACCCGGCGCGCCCCATTTGACCGCGCGAGCGTGAAGCACCGACCCTGCGCCCCGCCCACGCACCCCAGGAGCCCCAGGTGGCGGGCGGGGTACCCGCGGCGGGGAGGGTGCCGACGCGGACGTCCCGCGCACCCAGGTGGGCCCCGCGGGGGAGCCAGCTGGGGCCAGCTGGGGGGCAGGGAGCTTAGATGGAACCAGCCCGGCCGGACAGTACACGGCGTGTGACGTCACTAATAGCATTTTAACGAGCGGACCTTGGCTGAGACACACGCACTGGGTATGCGTTCCGTAGCGGCCGCGGCACAGCGAGCCACTCATCAACGCCAAAGCTGGCCAAATTACTGAACCACTCAAGTCAGTTGTGGCTGGGGGAGAGGGAGGGGGGGGGGGG